CCTTAAAGCTGCACATGAAAATTCTTCCATTATCTCCAGAGCTCCAATTTGTTAATGTCTATTCCTAGCAACTTCAGGTCACAGCCACCTACACTTCTTCAGAAAGTCAGTATTCTTCATAACAGGATAACATATTTTGAATCACTCTTGAATGCATCTTGCCTTGTTTTTGTAATGAATTAAGGTTCTTTAGATTAGTCACCATCTGAAATCGTGAGCTAGCGACTGACAAAGATAAAGCAATGAGACCAAGAACAACACGAAGTTATAGTTACTTTGCCTATACTCATCTACATTCTTAGAAAATAAGGCCCCGATGTTACCAATGCTGCACTAGCCCCTATTCACTTCAGTGCATTCAACGAAAGCACAAGAATCCATCTGTTCAGAGGACATTACAGAAACACCACGAAGCATGTTAAGCTTGATCCTATAATCAAGTCTAATTAGAATCACTGGCATTTAGCATAGGTGTAAAGATCCATCATGCTGATCCACTTGTAGGATCATAGCCTTAATGTAAAGCCATAAAGCATTTTGTTATTACTTCAAATAATCCAAGTTGATCTCCTTTAGAGAAATGAGGTCTGATCTTACAGCTGGTTCTGCACAGGTAGTGCACTTCCTCTCCACAGAATTTCACTGACATTAACTGGCATAAGGAATATTTTCCTTTGTAAGAGGAAGGAAAAGAAAAGGAGGCAGTAATAAGAATGAACCTCCTTCCCCTGTAACACTTTTCACACTGACAGCAAGTCTTCCAAAGGTCCAGAATTAATAAAAGAGATGGTAAGGTATGGCTTGTTGCACTCCACTAATAGCATCTCCCTACCTGGCTGGGTGATGATATATCCATACCTAGCCCTGAGTAGTAGTGTGCAAACACAGAAGAGAAATTCTAACTAGAAAGTGCATGGCAAACTAGCAAGGTTATGATTACATCACAGTAATCCACTCACAGTTGCAAGATAGCTGTGTAATTAAAACAGTAATAAGGGAATAGCTTAAGAATATGCAAAATTTGCAAGCACCATGAGAGCTAAAGAAACTTCCATATTCATTTTAGTTTTCTGTTGACATATCATCTCTTTGCTGGCAGTGGTACGTCAGTAAGAGCCTCAGAGAGCTCTCATGCTCTCTCTCAGGAGCCTTTTCTTACATGGAATTCTCTTTAAGAAATCTGAGTGAAAGGCAGAGCATTAACTTCTAACAAATACTATGGAAGAAGTAGTTTTCAAGAAAGGAACCAACATTCTCAAGCTAAACACGCTAAAATTTGAATTTTATTCCTCCTGTTCAGCATTTTCTTTATTCAACAGCAGAAAGTTGCTGCTCTAAGAAAATACTAATTGCTTTCTTATCTCAAAGTTTAACCTGATCTAGACACATTTCTTCCTAAATCTATTGCAAGACTTATTATTGGAAGCTTTTAAAACCAAAGCCTTCTCCTATTCCCACAATGATTTGACAAACAAAACAGGAATATAAAAAGTACTGTTCTTCATTAATATACTATTTTTTAACAACTCCAAGCTGAAGCAAACAAAGACATATGCATTCTTTCATCTCCTTTTTCCTGTGCCTCATAGCTCCAGGATTTGATTAGGTTTCCAGGGGATCCAACCTAGAAGGACAACTGTGGAAATACAAGAGTAATGCTATGTCCAGAAGTCAGGCAGAACAGATTACTACATTATTAAAAATCTGCTTGTGTTCTTTCCTAAAAAACATTCCTTTGACTTTGTCTAAAGACTACATTGTCTTATTCCTAAGCAAAAGGACTTGAAGAAAACGCTATCCTAAAGTAGACTTGAACAGTGAATATTAGCATTCCCATGCTAGTGTGTGGTGTGTCTACCATGTAAGAGGTATCAAGATTACTGGTAAAATTAGATCTTTACCCCACCCCATCAAAATGGTCACTACCTCCTAGAGCTTGGTCTGTGCCTAGAAAGGCGGTGGGCTGGCCTAGTATTGCTGTGCCCACACTCACCTACCAGCACTGTGCATGTAGAATGCTAGCTGACTTCTTCCTTCCCAAGAGTGCCATTCATCCCCTCCCCAGGCACGTCTCTACAGTGCTGTCCTTCCAGAACACATCACTAATTTAAACATGTGAGATTAAACAGAAGCTTAAACAAAAACTTAATTTTCCCTGGTAGTGTCTTGCTGGTAAGCATAATAATTAATACCTATCTGATGTTCTTCACGTCCTTAATCCTCATTTCTATGTGCATCACCATGTGAAAGCAAGCTCTTCTTTAGATGGCACATAGGACTAGCTAGAGATATTCTAAAACACACCCTAGATTTTGCTTATATGATATTTTTCTAAGAGGTTGTGTACCATGCTCAAGGGTTCACAAGGGATGCTTTGCACCACCTCGAACACTGGAATTCTCAGCTTTTCCAGGTCTTTGGGACAAAGACCTTAATAACACAACCAGAAGAAAAGAACTAATTAAATAAATTAAAATTAGCAAATGGTAGTGATGTCCTTTCCATTCAGTTTAATTTTCTAGATAATTGAGTGCTGGGAATGAGCTAACAGAATAATGGCTGAAGAAATAGCACCCAGATATTTTAAGGCACGGGCTGAACTCAGGATTCCATATAATGCTAAATTCTTGGACTTACGTACTTAACTGCCTTCTATTTTGAGACTCACTTGGAATGTTCTTTCTTGCTCAGTAATTCACTGTCACAGTACTTAGACACAGAGCTACAGTAATCCAGCACTGTCTTGTGCTGGAGGAACAATGGTTAAGGAACAATTTCTCTTGAGGACGAATGGTTAAGTATCAGAGATTTAGCTAAGCTAATATTTTTCCAAAACAGTTCCTCTTTTGATTCCTGTACTCTTACACTTCTATCAAAGAATCTAGGACTTTGTCCTTCCAAGTTGTAGGAATACAAAAAAAGATTACAGGCCATGTCTTGACAGGGATAACAATACACTTTAGGCTAGGTTAAGCATGCACTAAAGTCAGCTGCCTGTTTTAGATAGAATCTCAAAGCTTCATTAACTTTGTTCAAGCACCCCCTCATGCAACTATGATTTTGGAGAGTGGGCACAATCTGTGTTTCTTTCTGACCCCATCTTGTAAAATATACATGCACACTGACTTCTCCTTTGCAATGGGAGCAAGGAGAGCAGATGAGCTGCAGGACTGGACCACATACACACTGACCAGTATATGAAGTCATTAAGTCACAATAATCCAGTCATTTCTGATTACATATACATATATACACATATATATATATCCTTAAAAATCTGTTCTCAAAGGCAGTTCAAATGAATTTGAAGTACAGTTTGGCATCATTCTACCATGGTCAAAATGAGAAAATGTTGTATCAATGTGTCTCTTTGCCACTCCCCTTCTTCCACAATATGCTCCAAACCATGCCATACTCCACAAGTAAAGCCAATTCATGCCTTTTGACATGTGACTGCTAAACTAAGAGTACTTCATATATGTAACAGTAAGTCTGTGCTAGCCCAAATTTTACTAAATAATGTGAAACTCTGACTATGGGAAAAATTGAGGCAGGAAGTCTGGTGAAAAATAACCAGGATTTCCTCCCACAGCCTTCTTCAAAACTGAGTCACATTAATTATTCCAGAAATTCTTCCTTATAACAAAGATATGACTTATGTATATTTTGGCTCTTGATCCCATAAAGATGATGCCCAGACTCAGAAAAGTGACCTGAATGACCTCCCACATAACCTTCCTCAGGTAGCTTAAAATCACACTGTCACTCAAGAACCCAAACTGCTTTTGAGGAATTTATATTCACCACAGAAGTTATACGCTTCAAATCTTTTATGCAACTGCTGAGCCAGTTTCAGTACAATTTAACACAATTGACAATTTAGCCTCAGATGTTTTATCTTCCTTTGTGACAGCTACGATATGGTTCCTGTCATGTACTAATGCAGCAATGAACAGTAATTAAGATCTTACATGAGAACTCTGTTAACCCCAGATTTATGAACTTTCAATACTCTCTATAAAAGAGTGGCTGTTGGACAACTGGCAGGTAAAGTCTTTCTCTTCTCAACTTTACCCTTTTCCTCCCAGCCTGTAATTGTCTGGCCACACAGATCAGAAATAGAGCCATTGGCTTCAACTGGACTAAGTCTACATGTAGATTTGTGTATGTGCAGGACTACGAACTACATCAACACAGCTACTCAGGCATGAATCACTGAAAAAGACCAATTTCTGTGAAGATGTGCATCACTGCTGTAATATTATCTCAGTATTTCTCTTACGCGAAGTTAACTGTGCGCATATGTTCACAAGATTCTTTTATACTGCATGATAGCACTTCAGACTGTCTGGTTTGTTTGGTGTTCAACAGTGGAAGTGTAAGAACACTTAAATACTTCAGATTTACTAGGAATAGTAGTGGTAATTTAACATCTACTTCTCTTATTCCCTTTTTATCAATAAATAAGTAACCCCCAACCCTTCAAAACTAAAAGTGCAGTTCTAGAACATTCTACTGTCAGCCTGTAGCCATACAGACAAGTGCAAGCATAAACAGAACAAATGCCGATACCTACATGAAAATTGATCTATCAAAAATGCCTCATCTTCCACGACTTTGATACGAACTGCACAGATTAAAACCAGGAGTTTTAATTGCTTCCAGACAGCACTTTGCACTAGTTCAATTAGCCTAATGTAACATCCACTATTAAGGTAGAATGAGAATGTGCATGGGTATAGACGAACCAACAGACAGTATTGTCTTATGGGCAGGTGACAATGAACAAGGGACACAAGCAGGAAACAGAATAAATGCCAGTGTCACATGCTGCCAAGAAGGAAGAGAAACCACTTCCTCCCAGACACTCAAACCGAAGCTCTCAGAAGCTTATTCCTCTTTGGACTAACTGAACAGTGTCACTTCCCAAAACCCCCTCACTAAGCACCCCAAGGACACCCTTTGAACTCATACCAACGGCATTAACAGCCCCCACTCACCACAACCTCCTAGGCCACCGCTCCAGGTCCCCGTGGCAGCAGATGGCTGCCCTCTCTCCAGGCGCTTGGGGTAAGCATGACCTCTCTCTGCTTCCTGAGCTAGCTGCTTTGGCTACAAACCGGCCACCGTAGGCCTGGCGGGCCCGAGCCCTGGCGATCCTTCAACACCGGGGAAGCGGCACACACCTCCTTCCCCCGCCACCACCTAGAGGGAACTACGACGGCGAAGGGCCGAAGGATCTGAGGGGCCTAAGGGAGCCGAGTGGGCTCTGAAGGCGATGGGGAACCTGAAGAGACTGAGAGAGGAGGAGAAAGCTCTGAGGGGACCTGAAGGGGTTCTGAGCGGCCTGAGGGGACCGACGGGGTTCTGAGGATACCGAAGCGGGCCTGAGGGAAACAAGGGAGCCGAGGGAGCTCTGAGGGGACCAAGGAGGTTCTGAGGGGGGCGAGGAAGGACCTGGAGGGACCGAGATGGGCCTGAGGAGGCGCTGTGGGAACCGAGAGGGAGGTAAGGGGGCGCTGAGGTGCTCGCGCCGCCACTGCTTTCCCGCCCTAAGGCGCCTCGCGCCGCTGATGCCCGCGGTGGGGTACGGGCCGCCGCCCCACCCACATACGCCCCGCGTCACGTGCTCTGGGAGCCGCAAAGCAGCGACGCTGTTTTTGCGACAGGGTGACAGCCAAATGGTGCGACATCCGCGGCGGCCTGAGGAGGAGCAGCAAGAGCAGCCGCCGCCAAGCGCTGCCGGGTAGCCGAGCGCCGCGCCTGGGCGGGGGAGCGCACCGCGGCCCGGCGGGCACCGCTCCGCACCCCGTCCGGAGCGACCCCCATGAGAGCAGGGGGACCTGCCCCCTGCCTGCCCGAGCACGGAGCGCTCCCCCCGCCCCTCATGCGCCCTTAGTCCCGGCCCTGGGCCCGCCTCCCTCGCTCCCCTCCCCGCCGGCGGCGGCGGCAGCGGCGGCAGTGTCCAGGTGCGGACTTCAAACCCCAGCGCAATGGCGTCTAACGCGGCCGAGAGGGAGATCCTGTTCACCGAGCTACAGGTAAGCGGCGGCGGCCTCGTCCCTCCGGGCGCCGCCCCGTTCCTCGCGGGGAAGGATGGAGCCGCTGCCGCGCTCCGCCGCCCCCTGCCCGCCGCTCGGCGCCCGGCCGGGCCGGGGAGGAGGCGACGGCCAAAGACTGTGCCCACCTCAGGCCTTTTCCCGCTGCTCTACCCTTGGGAGTGGAGGCGCCGCCGCCCGGTCACGGCCCCACCCCGCTGCCGGCCGCGACCCGCTTTTGTCTGCTGTCGGCTCCCTCCTTCCCCCGCAGAGCCGCCGCGTCCCTCCGGTGGGGCCTGCCCCGGGCCGCGCCCCCCGCCGCTGCCCGCTCCCTCGGCGCGGCGAGGCCGCTGCGGTGGCTGGGGTTCTCCCCGCCGCCCCGGGCACGGCGCTCGGCGGGGTCAAGGCAGGGAGCTTCCCCCGGGTACAGTGCACCGCGCAGGACCGGGAGCAGTTTCCTTTATGTAGGCCTTGAACCGGGAGCCCGTGCAGGGGAGAAAATGGTGCGGGCAGCGTTATTTGTACACGGCAAGTGTTTTTGTCACCTCAAAACCCACCCCAAACAGCCCCCAACGCTGTAAAAGGTGCTGAAGACTCAAGGGTCGGTTGTTACCATCGCTGTAATTTGAGTAGTTCGGGTTGCCTGTGGAACTGTTACTTTTCTGCTTGTCAGCTGCAGGGTTAGATGCAATTCGGGAGCTTCGCTTTTGTGCTCTTATCTGTAAATGTCAGCTCAACCTGCTGGCTCTTCCGCTTCCTTGTCCAGAAGAAAGCGTGCCTTTTTCCCTTCTCTTTATAAATATACCCCGCTAAATCTATGCGAGTTGTTATGGTTAACCAGGCAAAGAATGCGTCCCTGAATTTATTAGTTGGACAATTAGCCAAAGTAAGGAGTCCATAAATGGAAAGCCTCGAGTTTAATGCTCGAATAGAAATTAGAAAGGCATGCATTAAAAAGCAGAAATTCCCTTTCCTAAATTCTTCTGTCATGTTAAACATTAGCAATGCACTCACTTAAGTAACAAAGAAGAAGGCACCACAGAGGTGTAGTAGTCTGCTTACTATTGTGGCACATGAGATGGCTGAAGGCTAAGAATCCATCTAAAATGCTGAACTTTAATCAGTGGCTCAGAAGTGTCTAGGAAGAATCGCTATGTTAATACAAACTTGATACAATGATATATAAGCTGGTAAACCTGTTTGAAGTGGTGAGCTGCGTGAATAAGTACCTATGGTGGTGTCACAGGTGAGCTAAATAGAAGCAGAATTTCTGTAGAAGTACTAAGAGTGGGATTTGGATCAATTTAAACAGAAATGAATGGGGATTATGTTTAAAGGGAAACAAATGTGGTTTGTTTTTTTTTTTGCTTGGGGGGGGGCTGTTTTGTTGTTGGGGGTGGGGAGGGTTGTTTGGTTTGTATTATTTCCTGTATTGATATGTATTGATACAATTGTGCAAGACAGAAAGGTGGCAATGTTAAGGTGGAAATCACATTGGGGTTTAAGTTTTGTGAATTGCTAACTTTTGGGTATATTCAAGAGGAACTTCCCCATCAGGAAGAGCCACTGTGAAGCCGGTGTTTTGTTTGCAGCGGCACATATTAGATGTGGAGTGCGAAGGCATCAGTATTATTTCTCTTGTGAATTCTTCAAAGCAAATTGTTCTCCATATACCTGTGCATAAAAGCTAGTTCAGTGGCATGTTCCCAAGTAAAGAGGACTACAGTGAAGCGTAAGATGTGCCGTTTCACTCGTGTTGCTTCAGGAGAAAACTTCCTCAATCTAAAGAACTGTGACCTAAAAAGTGCTTACATGTAAAATGGGCTTTTACTTGCATAGTGCAGTCTTGCACCGGAAGATGAGGAAGTTGTCGAATGCATGGCTACAGTGAAGGGTGCAAGTGTCACATCCTTGGGTTGCTCTAGATCATGAAGGATGTGTGGTTTGGGTGGTTTGTTCATTCTCAGGAAAGCCTGCTGAAAACAAGCTAAACCCAGCGTGTATCCCAAGCTTGATCCTGATGTGGAATCTAAAGTGAGTATCAGTTGGTGACCAATACAACACATTGTTTATTGATATGTTCTCCTTATGATAGCCCTGTGTACTCCAGCGTGCTGTTAAGTAGGTAACTGTTAGCTTTGGAGGAAGTAAGTCAAAGTGGGTCAGTTATCAGGTATCCATTGGACTCTCCTGATACAAAGCTTAGCAAACTTTAACTACAACAGGGTGTAAAAGGGGGAAATAACCAACTGTTAAGAAGAAACTAGTAGATGTCATGTGGTGTTAGTACTCATCCAAAGTGTACTGGCTTTAATTAAACAGGCCTTAAATAGGCCTTAGATACCACTTCTCACAGACAGAGTTCTATATGTTTAAAGAAGTGACAGAGATGTTACTTAAAACCCTCTGCTAGGAAATACCCACTGAGCATTTCTGTTCTGCTTTTCTACAAACCATTTCATCGATTCTTCTGTATCTTGAACCATTTCACAGCCAGTTAATAGGATGTGAAAAGTATATCTTGCTCTTAAGCAAGTTCTTGTGTATGTTCGTTCAAAGTGAAAACCGCAGCACTTACTCTTTAGTAGTTAGCAAATGCACAGTATGAAATAAACCTGGCAGCAATCAAATCCTCTTGTTAATTTGTTCTGTTTAGCAGCTTCACCAGAAATATACCTGGTTACCAACAATTGAAAGATTACTTTACCTTTTTACTTCCTTTTATCTCTAGTACAGGTCCTTTTGTAGAGGGGGAAGGAGCTTGGGTAAGAACCAGTATTGCTGATGATGCCTTCCCTTCCAAGATTCTGTTATCCTTATCTGGGTTTGCATCCCTTTAGAACTTGGTCTAGCAGGTAAACCATGCTTACTTTAGGTTAGATGCACAACTTTTAACTCTTTGCTTCCTGGTGGAAGGGGTGATTGTTTCCTCATAAAATTAAACTTAACTTGGGATGCTTTAGGCTGTTAAACAGGGCATCCATGAACTAAAATATTTCAAATTTTAGATTATAAAGGCTTTTTTTAAATCAGTATTTAAAAATAAATGTTTTATGAGCTCGTGGGTATTTCCAAAGATGTGTGCTTCCTTGGCAGTGATCATAGATGTCAGCATAGTAAGGTGGTATGGCTCGGGTAATAGAGTTATTACTTAGAGCATTTAAATGCAGCTACTGTGTATGCAAAGTGATTGCACTTCCGAACTTCTAAATGTCCTCTACCACTTCTTCTCTAGGCAGTAATGGCAATGTATTAAACTTCAGACTTTTCATGCAAATGTTACGGGATTTAAGAAGACTTTTGGTTCACTCAAAACTGTGCTTTAAAACCAATACCTGTTTAATGGCAGCAAAACCCAACACATTACTTGGTTCTGTTTGTTCAAATGAAATTGGTCAAGTTAGAGAACTTGAGCTGTGCCCTAAAGTAAATAAGCAGGTAACAGACCCTCATTTGCTTCAAGTGGAGATGTTAAAGGTCTACTTCTGTATTAGTCGGAATAAAGGGGTTATTTTAGTGGCTGTTTTGTTTTAGTGCAAGTATTGTGTTGCATAATGCATGCCTATTTGTGTAATTTGCTAAATTGCTGTATTTGGGAGCCTGAAGTATGAATTTCAAGACAGAATCATGTTTAAAGGCCATTCGTGACTTTGTTCCCTTTAAAAGTAGCGATGAAACAGTACCACAGCTGAAATGCATGTAAATTATGCTTACACAGTGGCACATCCGGTAGAGTTCTTAGTTTGTGTTTTTCCATTTCATTAAATGAGTCTGATTGAGAAATACTCAGTATTTCGTTAGTTTGCATGGTATAAATCGGGACAGTTGAGTTTTCGGCTACACAACTATGTTTTGTATATAAAATTAGGCAATTGTACCTGGGTTAAACTACTAGGTGGGCCTCTGAAGACCTGCATTTCGTTCCTGGCAGCTCTGCTTTCAGTAGGTGACATTAGGCGGATGACTTTGCTAACTCATGTCTCAGTTTCCTCATCTTTAGAATAGAGGTAATGATGCTTGCTTTTTTTAGAGATAAAAAGTACTGGATATTTATTATTAGCTGTTGCCAAGTGCCTAAGGACACCTTAAAAAGGTACAAGTGACCTAATTAATCTGTTTTGAACCGACACTGTAATTAGGCTGAATACTCCAAAGTAAGACTGCCTTCCAGTACTGTTCAGCTAGGACAGATTAGCCTCAGATTGTTTGGAGTTCCTCTTGTTTCTTCAGCACAAGGAAATGTCCCATTCAAGTGAATACATCCTGAGCTGGTTTACTGCTTGTGGTGTGTTTGGGACTTGTCAGGTCCCTACAAATGCTTTCAGAACTGGTGGATTTAGGGTAGTACTTCAGGTTTTTCTTCCTTTTGTGGATATATATTCCCCTTTAAACAGGGCGCGGTTCAGAACTTGTGTTAGTAAAATATACGTCCTGTTCTCAGTGGAACATCAACAGTCCTTAAAATACTTTTAGGTAGGGTGCGGGGTTTGGTTTTGGTTTGGTTTGGGTTTTTTTTCTGTCTTCCTAATTCTGTCAGTCTGCCTGTTAACATAGAAACTTATACCATATAGACTTGGATACATTGGAATTCATCAGAGCAGATGCCTTTCTAAGACCCAGATCTGTTATTTTAACTTGAGATAAATTATTAGTGATGGCAAGTAGAAAAGTGTATTTAGTTACTGCCTGTGTAATAGTTCTGCTGGAACAGTTTTATACATTGTGGATGCTCATTCATTACAATGTAACCTAAAATCTGTGGTAGAGTAACTAGATAAACGTCCTTTACATTGGGAAATGGCGGTTTAAGAGCTTAATGATGGGATTAAGACTTTGTCAATGTCTCAGTGCTTTGCTGAGCTCCAGACATTATGTGGCCTCTACTTGGATTTAGAGTAACAAAGCCTTATGGTGTGTTAGATGCAGTATGAGGGGCTTGTGGTGCTTTCTGGTTTTGCTTTCTGTAGGAATCACTGGTACAGCTGGTACAATTTGGTTTATGG